CAAGCGCTACAAAGCCCTGTACTTGCTTTCTCAAACATTTACTAATTAGCAGCTATTTTAACCGATTTTTAGATATATTGGACGTCTAAGCGGTTTATTAACCGCTTCACATGAACCACTGAAGTGAAGATCGCGCATAACACCCATTCTGTAAAACATATTGGGCTATCTACCTATGGAAAGGAATCAATTTATTTAGCTGCGAGTTTCAGAGTTAGGCCTCGGTTTTTCAGAGATCCCTAGAAAATGAGGTTTTTTTCATGAAGTTTTGAAAACCTTGTTTGCTACATAAAGATTGAGTGATATCTTGACCATCGAATGCTGAAAACTGTAACTCTCTAACTATTGTTGATCAAAAGTTATCAGAAGAGCGACTTGAATTAATTAGCACTTTGAATCTATGTTTAAATGTATTGCGTTTTTGCTCCATTTCTTCAAATAAACACTTGATATTAAAATTATTCAAGTGATGATATAATAGATACGGCAATAAACATGTTGATAATGCATTGATTAGCATCTATTAATTCACACCTTAAAAAAGTAATTTAAAATTTTTTTATGAAACTATAACCGTAGATCATTGGCTCTCAAGATACGCAAGAACGACGCTTCTACGATTATTTTTGATCGAACTTCAAGCTTTTCAAAAGGGAGAGTGTCAATTCAAAGTTTAATTAAAATTTAAACTTGATTAATTAATAACACTGTCAATACTTGACCAAATTTCATTTTATTCTGCAGGCATACCATTGAAGGTGTACTCTACAAATAAGCCAAGTTTGAGGATATGTTTAGGGGAACCCCATCTCCTCTTAAGTTACGTAATGAGTTACTTTGCTACGGTTCGAACAGTATTCGGTCGTTGTTTTGGATCTTTTAAAACCTATGGAGAACGAATAAAATTATATAGTATGAAGAGTTTGATGATGATCGACATACCTTTTTATGTTTCTGAACATATGGCAAAAATACGCAGAAAAATAGTAGTAAAGGTAAAAATATTGAGACAAGAAAAATCTAAAAAGTTAAAATAAATATTGAAGAAACTGATTATTGATCGTCATGTAAAATGATGTGATTACCCTAAAATTAATGTATGTTCGTTTATAATTAATGTTACCGTACCATTTGTTATCTAAATATTTTTGTACACATCTTGATGCAAGAAATGATCGACAATTAGCATCTTGAGCTAATCTTAACGGATCACAATTAAACAGAGCCACTGCTCGTCGTTTAACAATATCAACAGAAAAATGTTCATCATTATCAAAACATTTATCAATCAGACCATTACTATAGTTGTCAAATTGTCTAGAAAAAAAGAGCAGTCTACACAAGAATAGTTAGTAAAGTTAATCGAATAGCAAAATATACTTTGCATAATCTTCATATACTGCTTGTTTTTCCGTATCTAATGTCGATTTGGCTGCTAAACGATATATTTTTGCGCCAAGTAAAGGAACAATCGTATGATTCTGTCGTATTGAAAGTAGAAATTATAGCCGTTATGCCGATCAGGTAAAAATGATCTCTGTGAACCAAAAATTTTCGTAAAAATTATTCAGTGGTTTTAATCTACCTTAAAGATCTTTTGTAGACACTGAACACAGTATAAGGCGCGTGTAATTCAAAAATTAAAGATTTATTTCGGATTTATCATACATCATTCGATAAAGCTTTTGAGCTGATGAAGAAAATGTAGTTTTTTCATGCTGAAAACTCAAATTGTCTCAAAAATAGAAAAATTCGTCTAGTTTGAAAAAGTTTGAATTTTCGTCTTATTTGTCGATGTTCAACTATCGTTTTCTGATTCAGCATGGAAAACTGAATAGAAAAATCGTATTTAATGGATCTCGCAGTGAGAGGGTCGTCCAACATAAATGTCACTAAATAAACCTTAGTTTTTTGGGTCAACAGATGAAACCTAATCATTTACACACCATTAAATCCGTCGAAGCTCAACTTCGAAGATGGTATCATTTTATGTGTTTATGAGTATCTTTGTTTTTCTTCATTCTCATATCTTTTTGTACTTCATAACCGTTCTATTATGTATTCAACTGTAACAACCTGTAATGGCTATCATCCTTGTTGGGAAATAAATACGTTTAAATTAAATTAAATAGTTGCTCTATATTTCTATATATTCGAAATAATTGTAAATTTGTACATCAAAGCTCTATTCGCCGTCGAAGAAACAGAAAGTTTTTTAGAAAAATGACCAGATATTTTTTCCAACGTTTTTGGTTCACATGTGAAGTAAAATACTTACCCAAGTTTTGGAACACAAATATTGAGCTAATTCAAAACGATTAAGAAATATTGCCCATAAAAATAAATCTCTCGGAGCATTTTTACCAAGAATTGCATTCAAATCGCTATTCACGTAGGTGGATCTCTAAGTCACCAAATCAAACTGATGGTGGTTAGGAGCGATTACGATTGAGCAAAACTTACATCAGCAAGGTTCTTCAGATATTGACAATAATAAATCACCCTAGTTGATGTTTCTATTTGTCCGTTTTTCGCTTTCGTTCCGCCTCCTGTTCTTATTTTCTTGAGGGGCAAGCAATCTGTACTCTACAATATTTATTTCGTAGAGACATACATGCGTTGTTCGTATTAAATCGCAAACCTTAGTAACGGCTAATGCATATAGTTGATCTAAATTTTTACTGGTTATACGTTCTAATGATGCACCAAATTCACAGAGTAACTCAACAAAATTGACGTGACCTCTTCTCAGTGCATCCATCAATGAATTCTGCAGATCGTCTTCCTAAAGTGAATTTAACTGCATAATTCTACATCACTTACAGCAATAAGAGGTGCATCTTAGTTACCTTCCATTCTGAAATTGTTGTATCAGTTAAAATATTTTGTTTAGCATAATCAAATTTTTGCCATGCCTGTGAGAAGAAAATGAAAGATGAACTTGTTAGATAGAATGTTAAAAGATTTTGTGTACCATGGCTAATTTTAGTTCAGCAACTCGTTGATGTTGTTCACATTTCTCACCAGAAAACTTTGCAGCTAAATAAAAAAAGGATAGATAGTGCAAGTTGACTGTAAAAATAAATATGTTACCGTTAAATAAAGCTTCCAGTATAGCATCTTCCAGATTCTCATGGTGTTTTTTACTATCGAATTTAAAAATTGTCACTAACATTTTTCGTTCACATAACACCCGACATAAATGATCTTTGACTTCGTCGATCCACGTATTATCCTGACAAGCCCTGGTTAGTCTAAAGTGAGAAAATATTATAGAGCTACTTCACTATTGAGCCTTAATTGAACACGTACATGTGGTTTATTTCATCATTTTTGTTATTTACTTTTCCTGCGGATGTTTTAGGTCGTTTACCTTCAGGAATACTGTTATCCATTAATACTGAATGTAAATCTGCTATGAGATCGGCTGCTCGTCCAGATTCCTCCAATGAAAGCATCATATATTCATTAATTATCAATTTAGAGATTAATAGTTCATCTACTTTGATCACGACGAGCGGCGTTCCACTTTCTAGTGCTTTGCACACAGTTTTAATTGATGATGGTCCTCCTTCTACTAATACCATCACTATGGGCACTATTCCAAATTCTAAGAAAGAAAACGAGACAAAATTCTTGTATTACATTTTTCAAGTACAATACCTTCTGCTGATTGTTGAATTTCTTTTGTTTTCTCATTTCCAATTTCGATATGCCGCGATTGTGTTTCGATATCTGCCCGAAGACCCAACACATTATCGGCACTCACATCGCCGTCATCAAACAAAAGAAAGTGTGTATGATTTGGTTCGAGATCACATCGTTTCTCTTCTCGACGTTTAACTGCGTAGGATCTAATACCATTGTCATCGCCTACCTCCTAATTATCAAATAAAGTCAAAGATCTTATTCTATTGTTCAATCGAATAATATAGAAAAGTATTTGATCTCACCACATGAACTTTGTCAATGTTAAATTTTCCCGATGAACCATTCAGCTGTAATGTACGATCGAACTGTTCTTTTCCTGAAAAGAAGTCAGAAAAATCAGATTTACACATTACAACATCAATTGTGGAAGCGCACCAGCGGTATAACCCCAACTGCATATACCGATACAAGGTACATCTAAACCCTGTTTTTTATTTCTATATCGATAATTATTTAATGCTTCTCCAACTTCTCTCACTACGCCAGCATTCGTTCCAGCCGTTATAATCCAAGCATCTACCAAAATGAACAAGAAAAAGAGGTATAATATCAAATATTTTTGACATATTACTTGTTGTGACAGCTGCCGAGACGAGGCCTTGCTGAAAAGCTTTTCTCAATCTTGCCGACATTTTTAATGTTTTGGCACCACCCGACACGGTGATAATTAAATCGGGTACATTCAAATTCCATCCAGTTCTCATAAATCGTACAACATCATTGGGTTTTGTTCGAAGTGCTAATCGAATATACTGCGGAAAAAAACTTAACTGGTAGAATTTATTCTCTTCTCTGTATGATATCTGTAGATGGTAACTACCTGTGATAGTCGTGTATTTTCATCTAATTCATTTTCATCAAATTTAACAAAGCCAAATTGGTTTGTCAGTTTCGAAATGCTAAATTAGATAACAAAATAGTAGTTTAATATAGATCCTAAGAGCAAGATAGTGTCGCCATCAGGGGCGTAGCTAGCATCTCAGAGCAGGGGGGTGGTCCTGCCCCAAAACTTTTTGTTCGTTCAACCAAAAAACGTTTCCATGCTATAAGACGTATCAAAAATTTTATGCGACGATAGTAAAAACACACTTTTCTAAAACCAGGGCCCCAGTAACTACGCCTCTGGTCGCCATCTCTCTTGATGTCATCATTTATCTAAAGAAACTGTTTTACTCACGAGACATCACTGGACTGCTTGATGGATAAATTTCTTACAGCCTAGTTCGAAAGAGGCATTTTTATACCTTTTTCATATCAGTTATTATTATTTGTATACTCACTGTTGCAACCTCTTGCAGTTTGGTTGTTAAATCTTCTGCCATCAACAGAAAGTGTAGTTGATGTTTTGCTTCTTTTATTTCTTTGATAGTATTCAATACACTTTAAATATAATATCCTACTCAGTTAAAACGTTAGACACGACATGTTGCTTATAAATGCCAAAACAGAAAAGACATTAGAAGAGATAAATAGCTACAAGAGTATAATTTTTTGTCTTCTTTTCAGTGTTCACTTGGAATAGCTAGCGCTAATCAAGTTTTGGACCAAAAGTAACTTTCACCGTGCAACACAGTTATACTTGTTCCTCGGACACATACTGTATCAGTTTTGTTAAATAAATATTTCAGAGATAATAGGTTTTTCTACTCTACGGAGAAGAAAACTCTGTTTATTTCACACGGCAACTACGGTGAGTGTTACCGTAAAACAAACGACGAGAAGAATGAATGATGTCAGAATCTTTTTCTTTAGTCTTCCTTATATTTATGCGACAATGCCAATATCTTTTCTTCCTTCTGTTCTGAAAAAGGACGTCTTTTGAAAATGAACAGAAAACATTGTGAAATTAAAAGAAAGAATGACATAATTTCTAAATTGAGAAGTACATATATTTACTTTTATTTTGAAAAGAAAGACTCAGTTTATACAAGCTGTACAGTAAATTGAATTTCGATTTAAATTAATGCCTTGGTGTAGTTGCTGTTGTTGATAAATTTTATTTGGATAAAATCTATGTGTGATGCAAGGACGTGCAACCCGATCCGTACTTGATCCAAAGGTTGGGTATGCGTCCATTGTTTTTCGGTAAAGGACGTTTTCGGTTAGAGTAATCTTAAACAATTCCGAAAGAAAACTATATGACGATGATCAATATCGAATTCTGAACAAAATGGCTCCTTTCATTTTTCGAATTTTTGACGTTTATTCTTTTCAAAAATGTTTTGGCCCCTCCTTTAGATCATTGAAAATGTTTTTATCTAGGATTTCGATTAAAAATACATGATCCAATGCAGAATTTCACGCTGATTATGAATATGATCTTTATTTCGCTTGAAAACCTTTGAAATCGAGAAAAATTTGTTTGTTGTCGAACGTTAATTATAGTCTTTTGCAGAAGTCGGCCTGCTGAAGGCAGAAATTTTGCTTTGGAACTGTAAAAGCTGTCAGATATATGCAAAAAGACGGACTCTTTTAGAATATCATGTCCAAAACTGTATATGGCTTTATTAAAGTGTCGGAAAGTCAAATTCAGTTCGAAAATCCTGCAAATTCCCTACCACAAATGATTTCTCTGCTAATCCTAATGAAAGGCTTGAAACAAATAGATCTTTCACCTGTAGACCTATTTTTTGATGCTCTTTCGCCTCGCATGAGAAAATTCTAAGAAAAAGTTGTGCAACCGGTCCAATTCTCAAATTCGGTTTTTCAGAAACCTTTTAGAAAATCCCCAAAATCTGAAACTCAGTTTTGACTAGGCAGCCTAAAGGAGCATCAGATTCTCAAGAATGTGAGACGTCAACCATTTCTCTACGATATTGAGTTGAGTTATAATCGTTCACATTTTTGATGGAAATAGCGCCCGCAACCGTTTCAAAACCTATAGAAAATA